TATGGTCTAAATGGTTTTCTAACTAAAAAAATATGGAATAAAATCAATGTCAATCTTTATTAAAAAAACTCGATTTTCTTCAAATCTATGTACTCGAAATCTGGCGTCAACAAAATGTAATGAAACCGACAAGCTTTTACGTATCCTATTGAAGATTAGGGCATTCAAAATCGAATAACTCAGACGTGCAACCATTTCTCATAGCCGTCAATCTAAGTGACTTGAATTTGATTCCCGCGTCAGTTATCACGATTAATTACCATAATTCATAACTAGAACAATTCAAGGCCCATTGGGCCTACCCAATTTTAATCAAATTGTCCCAAAATCAAACTTGGCCCACTATGTAAATCACTAAAAACCCTTTTTTTTTTGTTCACCATTGCAAGTTGAAAAACTTGAGAGGGGCAAATGGAATTACAGAGGAATTGAGGGTCTGAAATCTGCCCACCCTTTCTTCTCCACTGCTCCCCCAAAAAAAAATTCACTCTTTCCTTTCCCTCCCTTTTATCTTCCCCCATCTTTTTGTACCAAATCTCCATTGATAACTCTTTCAGCAAAAAAAAAAAAAAAAGCTTTTCACTCTCAATTTTGGTGAACATTTTCTCGCCGCTGATTCCCTTCTCTCGACTGACGCAAGGTGCGTATCCATCCCTGCATGTGTATTTTTTTTTGTTTGATCTAAGTCTGCATTTCACATTTGTGCGCGTAGTTTTTAAGTTCGAAAATTCTCGATTTTGCCTTTTTTTTTGTTTGTACGGATTTTTCGGGTTTGTGCTTGTGGGTTTTGCAGTGTTGGTTGTTTCTAGGGTTTTTTCTCCTTTGATTTGCAATTTTATATTTTGGTAATTCCACTCCACTTTTGGTGATTTGTATGGTGTTTACCCCCATATTTTAGGTTTATAAAGTTTTGCCCTTAGTCTTTGGGTATTTAGAGGAAAATGTAACGGAAACTTGATTATTATTCATTTATTACTATTATTTTTAGAATAGTCTTTAAGTTTAATAATGTCATGATTTATATGCTTTATATGCTGATTATTGATATTTTTGTGCCTGTGTTTTATGGAATTTCAGTAATGTTGTTACCTTCTTGGTCAGAATATATATATATATATATATATATATATATATATATATATATATATATATATATACATCTTTCTCTATTTTACTTCCATTTGCATTTTTCTGATTGAAAAATCTTTATTTTCCTGTTTGATTCATGTCACGTATCCGCTGTGCGGCATATCATTGTGTTTGCGTTCCCGTATCATCTTGCATAGAATATATATACTTGTGTTGGGAGATATAATATGAACGGGATAAACTTTAATTGGACAAGTGTTTGATGGAGAACCGGAAGTCTTACATTTGAACAGAGGACTAAAACTACTTTACTCATTTAAGGTTTCTTTTTATTATCCATTTTGGCCGACACACACGTGTCTGGTCTTTGAGATTTTTTGAATGCGCTGATTTATAATGTTTTTAACTTTTGATGAATTTTACATTTTCTTTGTCAGGTTTATGGAGCGCGGTTGAATCTTTGGTTATCGATGGTTCTACTATCATACTTCCGTTTTTGAGGTGCAAAAAAGTTTTTCTTTGAAGGCCATGAGCTCTGTGCTGCTTGGCCAATCCAGTCAAGAATCATATTCTTAGCGATAACGTGGTATTTTAAATCATCCTTTTAAGCTTGCAATGTTTGTTTCTCTTTATTATAGCATAGGAATGCAGCCTGTACCTTTTTTTTTTGGCTTGCTTGTAATTAACTATACGTAGACTTGTGGATAACTTTTGTGGGATAGTGTGACTGCAGAAGAGAAGGATTCACAAATTTTTTGTCAACTTCCATACTGGTATATTAGCAATGGAATGCAACAAAAACGAAGCTATCCGGGCCAAAGAACTCGCGGAGAAGAAAATGGTAAATAATGATTTTAAAGGTGCTCAGAAGATTGCTATGAAAGCGCAGGCTCTCTACCCAGAACTGGACAATATTGCTCAGCTGTTAAGCATCTGCACAGTTCACTGTTCAGCAGAAAATGGGCTTTTGGGATCTGAAAAGGACTGGTATGGGATCCTTCAAGTTGAAAAGCTTGCTGACGAGTCAATGATCAAGAAACAATATCGTCGGCTAGCACTAACTCTCCATCCTGATAAGAACCGATTTCCTGGTGCAGAGAGTGCTTTCAAGTTGATTTGCGAAGCGAACGCAGTTTTGTCGGACCCCGCAAAAAAATCTTTATACGACGCTAAGGTCAGGGTTTTGAGTAGATCTGGTCCAGCAAATTCAACAGTTCACCACATTAACAGAAGTTCTAACGTTAGCAATCAAAACGGTGCCCAAACCAAAGTTCCTAATGGCTTTACCAATCCGAATCAACGTCAATCAACTCAGTCAACCCCCTCTACCAGTCAAGAAGTGTTCTGGACATGCTGCCCATTTTGTCATGTCGAATACCCGTACTTCAGACAATTTATTAACAGATCTTTGCGCTGCCCGTCATGCGAAAAGGCATTTGTGGGGTATGAAGTAAGACCTCGAGGTGTTCCATTGGGGTCCAAATCAAGCCAACCAGGTGCTCAACGCGTGCCTCCTAAACCTGGCCCGAGTCGCAAAGAAAAGGTTGTCCCAAATCAGGGGAACTGCAAAACGGGTGTTCGAAATGATGAAGGACCTTCAGCACAACATGCTGGATCACAAGGACTTGCCAGCGCAAAAACTGTTCGACCAGAACCAAGTGCCCGGACAGGAAGTGATGCTGAAGGTATTGCTAAGGCACCTGCTGCCAGCATAGCTAGGAATTTGAAAAGCAAAGGCAAAGATACTCATAATGCCAGTTCAATGAATGGTGGAAAGGGAGTTGAAACATCGAATGGTGATGCAATTTCTAGAGAAGCAGAACAGGTGGGAAACAAAGGCAGGAAGAGGGATAGGAAGGTATTGAATGAATCTAGGGAGACAAATCACTTTGATGAGGAAGATCCGAGCGTGAAAGGGAATTTTGCACGGAGATCACCACGGAAAAAGCAGCATGTCACAGATAAGGAATCAGGTGTGAAGGAGCCAAAGGCTGCTGTGGTTAGTGAAGATTCAAAGCATGACAATCAAAGTAGTTTCGCTATTAATGCATTTGGTTCGAAGTCGAAACCTCAAGAAATGGGAACTTTTCAGTCCAAAGAAAGCTTTCGTGACAAGAATGCTGACTGTAATAAAGAAGGTAAGGCGAGAGGAGAAACTGGTGACAAGCCGAGCACTGGTGTTGATACAGTTCACATTGATAGTGATTCCGACGAAGATATCTCCTGTATCAATAAATCAGATATTGAGATAGAATGCCCCCAACCAGAATTTAGCAACTTTGAGAAGGCGCAAGATGAAAACCGTTTTCAGGTTAATCAATTCTGGGCTTGTTACGACACATCAGATGGCATGCCTAGATTCTATGCAAAGGTGAAGAAGGTCCGTTCTTCTCCATTTCAATTGACCATCACCTGGTTAGAAGCTGTTCCTATTGATAAAGCTTTTCAAAAACGGGTAGACGAGGAGTTACCGGTTGGCTGTGGCGGTTTTAAGCTCGGCGATACTGATAAAACATCGGTACGTCTATCGTTCTCTCATCAAGTACATATCGAGAAAGGAAAGAAAAGAGGTTCTTTAGTCATATACCCAAAGCAAGGCGAAGTTTGGGCTCTTTTCAAGAACTGGAATACGAGCTGGAGTTTGAACCCTGAGAATCACAGCGACGAGTATAAATATGAAATTGTCGAGGTTCTCTCAGATTTTGTTGAAGGTGCTGGAATAAAAGTTGGTTATTTGGATAGAATTGCTGGATTTGTGAGCCTTTTTCAGAGAGCAAGTGAAAGAGAGGCTGATTTTTTTTGGGTAGGGGCGAATGAACTGTACAAGTTCTCGCATTGTGTGCCGTCTTCCAAAATGAGTGGCGATGAGAGAGAAGGTGTTCCGGTGGGTTCGTTTGAACTGGATCCTGCTTCTCTACCTTTGAACCCCGATTACTTGTATTACCCTAGCAAAGGAAAGATGGCAAACATAAATGGGAAAATTGGAGTCTGTTCTTCTCCGCTTAAATCGGCTAAGGAAAAGGGTAAATCTATGGCATCTGAGGAAACTAGTACTCCAAAGAAGTTTGCGGGCTTCAAACGAGTTCAAGGTGAGATGTCTAGACCCCGTAGATCTCCTAGAGGACTTAACGCTATTTAAAAAAAAATGCGAATTGATTCTATCTTTTGTAGTCCAGAAAAAAAAGAACACTTTAATCCTATGTTGCTGTTAGAGATTTGTAGTTAGCCATGATGATATTTGGCTGAAGTGTCTTGTCTGATTAGCTGGTGACGTTTTTTTGCTTTGCTTACGCAACTTATTGGGTTAAAAGCATGGACGCACATCCGAGAGTGTTTTGGGGAGCTTTTTCCACCATATGTTTTTTGGTAATCTGTATATTTATTGGAAAAATCAAGAAGTTGATGCCATACAAATAAGCTTTAGAAATATTCGTAGTAACGGTGTTTTACTAGGAATGACGTTTGATTGACGGTCGAGTATTAACCACCTTGTAGGGGCAAGTTGTCGTAATTAGCAGATGAACCTTTTTCAAGCTTGTCTAGGCATGTGTTTTTATTGGATCATTGACTGTCCAATAAAATAATTAGATTTCATTACATTATTTAATTTTATCTTGCCAACCAAACGAGGCCTTATTGCTTACTAGTTCATATTCTTATCTATAATCACAAAACCAACAATACATATAAATCGTAGTAACTGATGCCATTTTAATCATTTAGTATGTACTGTTAAAAAAAACATTTAGAAAATGAAATCGAACATCAATTAATAAATAAATAAAAAAAAAAAAAGGTTCTAGATTGCATAGATCTCTTGATGGCCCTCAGTTTTAGTACACTGCTGATTCACATTCAACAAAAACAATACCTGCAATATCCTGATTACTACTACTAAAAAGAACATTTAGTATGTGTAATAATAATAATAATACAGTCACTGAACTTTTTATGTATTTTCAGTCATACATACAGCCAACAAAAATGAATCTCCCTCTCGCATATCCACATTCGCTCAATGGATGCGCATCACATTTCAACTGCTTGTATATGTATGTGCCCACAAGTATTATGATACCTGCAATATAGCAACGTCGAGAAACGAGAATTAAAATGAGACAGTGAATCATAGGCAACCAAAATCAAGTCCCAGGCATGAAACTGATTTTAAAAGATGGAAAATTATCAGGTTTTATATCAGCTTCAAGATTTAAAAGTCTATTTTTTTAATGGAAGCAAGTAATACACAACTCACCATCATGGAGCAGAACAGCCGAAAACAAACGAAGGCCTCAGTTCAAGCATATGAATGATGTTTCCTGCGGTCTTTATCTCTCGATGAATAAGAAGAGCTGCGGTAGTCACGATCTGCTTCATAAAATAATTTCATAAGCTAAAGATGACAAATTAGACATTTGACCTACATTATTCCTACGGTTTACAGTGATTGATAAGAGGTATACCTCGAGATGAATGATGTCTAGGCTTCTCCATGTGTCCTACATAATAAGGTGTCGGTTTAGGAAATTAAGCTAAGATTAGAAGAGCATAATAATGCAAGAATCAAATGAATATATCTTGAAGAAATTTAAGACAACTTCATATGAAGAATATTTAACTGTTTTATTATATCGATGTATTACATAATACAAGGTTTATATAGATGAGAAGAAACTAATCAAGGAGAGATCAAGGAGAGAATCAAGCATGATCGTATAAACAACCTAATCTATCATAACTAAACGAGGAAAGATATACAAGTCTATTTATGGTGTATATATACAAAATATTCTTCAATACTCCCCCTCAAGCGGGATCTAAAAGATTGATGGATCCAAGCTTGGCCAAGAGTCGATGAAATTGAGAAGATGGCATAACTTTGGTGAACATATCTGCAAGTTGGTCACCCGTTCGTACATAATGTGTCTGTATAACCTTAGACTGAACTTGCTTACGAATGTAGTGGCAATCCACTTCAATATGCTTCGTTCTTTCATGGAAGACCGGGTTAGCCGCTATATGCATAGCAGCCTGGTTGTCACAAAAAAGCGTCATAGGAATGGGTAACGAGTAACCAAGATCAGTAAGAAGGCTTTTAAGCCACACAAGCTCACAAGCTGCTGTTGCCATTGCACGATATTCAGCTTCCGCACTCGAACGAGCTACTACATGTTGTTTTTTGCTTTTCCAAGAGACTAAATTACCACCAACAAACATATAATACCCAGTAGTGGATCGACGATCAAGTGTGTTTCCAGCCCAATCTGAGTCTGTATAACCCATAATGCGAGTATGATCGTTCTTAGTCATTATTATTCCACGGCCAATCGTTCCCTTCAAATATCGCAAAATCCGTTTCACCATACTTAAGTGATAAACGGTCGGGGCATGCATATGTTGACTAACCAGGCTTACGGCGAAAGAAATATCGGGCCGAGTGATAGTTAAATAGATAAGCTTGCCTACGAGCTGTTGATAATATCTAGGAGAATCAAGAGTTTTTTCCATAGAACCAAGTTTCAATTTACTATCTAAAGTTGTTGATGCAGGTTTTGTAGATAACATACCCGCATCTTGAAGCAAGTCCATAGTGTACTTACGTTGATTAAGGAAGAGACCTTTGCTAGAAGTCGCCATTTCAATACCAAGAAAATATTTCAAGGGACCAAGATCTTTAATAGGAAATTTATGCTGAAGGTTCTTCTTTAATCGCGAAATTGAATCGGCACTAGTTCCGGTGATAATGAGATCATCCACATAAATCAGCACCATGAGTTTTTCACCGTTCCCAATACGGACATAGAGAGATGAGTCGGCTGAACTACATGAAAAACCGAATTCTTCAAGGGCAGAGCTTAATTTCGCGTGCCACGCACGAGGACTTTGTTTCAAGCCGTAGATGGATTTGTGAAGTTTGCACACTAACCCCGGATTACAACTCTGAGGATGGCCTGGGAGTAACTTCATAAATACTTCTTCTTCAAGATCACCATGTAAGAAGGCATTTTTTACGTCCATTTGAGATAAAAGCCACCCATTGTTAACAGCAACCGATAAGAGAACTCTAACTGTTGTCATCTTGGCAACCGGTGCAAAAGTCTCTTTATAGTCGACGCCAAATTTTTGAGTATAGCCTTGAGCCACTAACCGTGCCTTGTGTCGATCAATAGTACCATCAGAGTTGAACTTTGTTTTGAAAACCCATCGACTACCAACTGCATGCTTGCCTTTAGGAAGAGGTACTATACTCCATGTATTGTTTTCAGCAAGAGATGTTAATTCCTCTTCCATAGCCCGATTCCACACATCTTGAGAATGTGCTTCTTGAAAGTTGCTTGGTTCTCGAACATTCGAGATTGCTGTAAGAAACGCTCTGTGCGAAGACGATATTCTGTGATAAGTTAGAAAATCAGTAACGGGATACCTGACCGAGTGTGCCACATAATCTTGCAACTTTCTTGGAGGTTGACGTTCTCGAGGTGGATTACGTCGATGAGCTGGAGCCTGGTCAGAAGTATCTTGCAATTCTTGTTCGTTTGAATTATCCGGAGCTGCTTGAGAAATACCAGATGAAGGCTGCTCAACAGAGACTTGGCAAGGAGCATCTTGTTCGATATGTATACTGGTAGGCTGCTCAAAACGTGGCTCAATACTTGGTAACGGAAATAATTCTATTAATCGTTCTCCCTCATTAGAAGTTGTAAAGAATGGTTTGGTTTCGATAAATCGAACATCTCTATTTATATACAACCTTTTTGTGATTGTATCGTAACATTTGTATCCCTTCTTTGTTTGTGAATAGCCCAAGAATAAGCATTTAACTGCCGGAGGATCAAGCTTGTCACGATGAGTTGCTGGTAGATGCACAAAACAGGTGCACCCAAAAATTCTTAAATGAGACAAATCCGGCTTTTTTCCCTGCAATACTTCATGAGGAGATTGAAAATCCAACACTCGACTCGGAAGTCGATTGATAAGATAAGTGGCAGTAAGAATTGCATAAAACCAAAAATACTTTGGAACATTCATTTGAAACATTATAGCCCGAGTCTTTTCTAGCAAATCTCGATTTTTACGCTCGGCAACCCCGTTTTGTTGAGGTGTGTTAACACAACTCGTCTGGTGAATAATTTCATTTGAAATTAGATAATTTTTCATGTTATGAGATATATATTCTGCGCCATTGTCAGATCGAAGAATTTTTAAATGAGCTGAAAATTGAGAAATAACCAACATGTGAAAATCTTTGAAACAGCCAAAAACTTCACCCTTTGATTTCAAATTTATATCCATGTAACCCTAGAAAAATCATCAATAAAGGTTACAAAATATTTGAAACCATCTATCGAAAAAGAAGAAGGCCCCCATACATCTGAGTGAACAAGTTCAAAAGCTTTACTCGTCTTTGAAACAGATAAATTGAAAGGAAGCCTAGCAGACTTGGAGTAAAAACAAGTTTCACATTCTGTAGTATCTTTAGGCAGATTTGGATTTATTTTGGAAAAAGTTGACTCTAACGGATGACCTAGACGACGATGCCAAAGCATGTATTTATTGATTGGAGATACAATAGCTTGACAACTCTTTGGAGGTGGAGGACCAGGAAAATAATAAAGTCCTTGCAGTTGGAACCCTTCACCAATCGTCTTCTTGGTGGTAAGGTCCTGAAATATTACCTTGTAAGGAGTAAATAAGACCGAACAATTAAGAGACGATGTCAATTGCTTAACAGATAGCAGTTGAAATGGAAACGAAGGGACATATAGAACATCAGATTGCCCTTACCCTTAACACGTGCACCTATACCATTTGCTACATAAACAAAAGATGGCGTAGATTAAGGAATAAAATTACGAATATTGGTTAATTTGTTTGACATGTGATCTGTGGCACCAGAATCGATAACCCATAAATCATGTGAATTACTAATTTCTAATGCAGTTATAAGGGCAATCGGAATACCTTGACTGTTTTCTGCAAATTTACTAAGAAGTGCACTCGGATCATTGTGAGTTTGTATGTCTGCCCCGTTTTGGTTGCCTCCCTGACCATGCATTTCTTGCAAAAAACTAGCAAAATTATTTAACAAGGAAAGATGAGAAGAAACTGATTCACCAGTATGTGCAGCTACGTGTGCCTTATGATGGTTGGCCGAAAACCTACACGCAAGTGCACGTATCGTACAAGTAATATAGTGGACTAAAAGTCCGGATATCGAACCCACAGGGAATATTTAATTATCTAATCCTAGACGCTAAATTCTACCAATTATTATCAAGCCCACCCTACACAGTCGAAAAAAGGATTAATAAACTAAATTAAACTAAAGCAATTAAAAAGACAAAAACAAGAAAGCAATTAAAACGAAGATTTAATCAAAGTAAACAAGCCTAGGATTTTATTCTTCCCCCTATGTGATTATTATTCCCCCAATTCCTTCAATTATGCAAGCAATTAACCCGGATTATTAACCTGAGATGCTAAAATAATCATAACCCGCTTCCGCGTGTATTACGTTTCTAATCCTCTAGATTCAATTACTATATTCCTATGCAATTAATTCTAGAACACAACATTAAGCACAAATCTCAATAATGGCTACCTAAGAGATTAACTATATTCCTATGTTAATACCACAAAGGCTCTTCTACCACAGTTCTAATTATTAACCCGATCTTCCGATTCATGCGATTAACAATAACATAAAAGCACATAAGTTGATCAAGTTCATGCACTTAATAAAACAAGTAGAAGAAATAATCCGGAATTAAAACTTGCATAAAATCATAGAAAAGGGTTCATAAATCCCACATAGGGTTCCAAATAAAATCCTAGAAACAAGTAATTTAGCTACTCATGATTAAATAAAAAACGCAAATAAAATAAATCATAGACGATAAATCTTTGCTTGAAGTCTTCGAATTCTTCCTCTTCGTTATTGCTTTGTGGCTCTTGAAATTGCGTAAAAAGAAATCCCTAATTGTGTGCTTGGATTGGTCTTATATAGGGTGAAGAACTTGGGGAAGAAGGCAGTTTCCTTGTGCAATTAAAATCCCTTTACTGCGCAACTTCGGGGTATGGGACGGGGGTCCCATAATTTGCACTAAAACTGGGACGGGGTCCGAGCCTTGTTTCTTCAGAATTTTGATATTTTCACTTTTGACCCATATTTTCGCCAAAATTGCAGTTTTGACCCCATACTTTTCCAATTCTTCAATTTGTACCTAAAATACAATAAATCAACTTTTTAAGCACCAATTATCATTAAAACACACCAAAAACTCAAATAAAAAGATACGATAAAGTGTAAAAATATACACTTAACACACCCCCAAACTTGAACTTTTGCTTGTCCTCAAGCAAAATTTACCAATAAGCAAATAACTCAACGATAACATCTCATCACATAGATCAATGACCAACTTCACGTTTTCAGAACTTGTAATTATAATGACAATTCTTAGGCATTCGCAAGCTCAAAATTCAACAACACTTAGTCACTCACCATTACCAAAAACCACAATTCATACAATTGCTTCAAGCATCC